AAACCAAGCAAAAATAAAATACAAAATACAGTTTTTTATAAGCAAAGAAGTAATAATTGCTAATCTAACAAATAAACCAAAACTTTCAAATGATAATACAAAAATTACAGAGTACAACATTACTATATCAATTATATCTTCTAGAATACTAGTAGATACAGCTAGACTACTTTATGAACACTATTACTTTGATTAAATACTAGTACACTAAATTGAAATACTAAATAAATAGCAAGAAACAAAGGCTTAATCTAATGCAACAAACAAACTAACAATTCTATCAACATTAGTTCAATTACAAGAAATGCTTAAAGACAAAACAGATAAAATATATATTAGTTTACCAATTACACAACAAGCAGATATTATATCTGGATCTATATCATTTTACCAATATTTATTTTATCGACAGCTCATTTAGCTAACATCATACCAAATGACAATTTACTAAAAATATATACCTAAAACTAATAAAACTCTAACACTAACTCCATGTAATGTCAGCTAAATAAACTTTTAGTGAAATGATTGTTGATAAAGTAAGCAGCACCAATTACATCTACATTAACAATGCTTAGACAACATTTCAAAATTCTAAAAATTTCAGACTATATTCTACAACTACCACTACTCTCAAAACCAACATGAGACATCTTATCCAAATGGTAATAACTAAGTTATACCAAAATAGATACAACAATACTAAAGGAAAAACACTAAACAAACATTGTAAAACAACATCAACTAAATCAATTAAAGTAATTCTATATAATATACAAGACACTAATAGCAAAATCAAATAGCAAGCTTAAGAAAAGAAGAATTTACAAATCAAAAAAGAAGCTAAGAAGACATTATTAAAGCTTGTTATAAAAGAAAAAAGCCTTTTTTTTTTGAACTTTAAGTAGTTAGATAAGCAACCTATCTTAACATATTTGAAGTAGTGCAATAGATCATACTTAGATACCATTTGAATGACCAGGTGATGCTAAACTTAGTTATTAAAAACATCTATGTAATTGCTAATATAATTTCAAGAATCTTAATAAAGTACTAGCATGGCTGTTTAAGTTTAAAAAAATAAAAATAAAAAATTACAAAATACTATTATACAAAAGATTTAACAAGCTATTACTCTAAATATACAATCTATTATTTTAGATAACTTTAATGCATTTAATTATCTCAATCAATCTTCTTCAATTAAATATAAACTACTTCATTTTTTTCAATATAATAACTTATACAATTTAATTAATTATATATAATTTAGTTAATTATATGTAATTTTCTATACCTATATAGCAAAGTAGCAAATATAGTAATAAATTAATTATATCTAGATTAACCAATCTTTTTTTTTATTATTTTAACATTTTTATTGATAAAAATTCTAATACTAGTACTTAAATTAATTACAAAATTCTTATTTTTAACTAGTTCTTTCTTTATTTATATTTAGACAAATCTTTTTATTTAATTAAAACTTAATGAAAAATATTTCTATACAAAAATATGAACAATAAATATGACAACTCTTCTTAGACCAAATAACTTCAAATATAACTATTAACCAAATATTACTAACTATTCAAATCTTAAAATATTTAGAATCTATATGACACAAAATACAAAATAGTATTATCTTTGGTTAGAAATTTTCAATATATTTTTTATATAAAAATCTTAAAACTATATTATTATTTTAAAAAGCTTGGTAATATTATTCAATAAACCAAATATGCATTTCAAAACTTAATACTTATTTTACTTTATTATAATCAACTTATTACTTATATTAATATATCTTATAATCTCAACATTCTACCACTACTAGCAAAGCATAATCTAGTATCAGACTGGTTAATTTCAGCCAAAAATAAATAGAAAACATTATACTATACTCACAATATAGAAAATATCAAAGAAATTAAACAACAAATTAATAACAATATTATTAAAAAATGCAATAAACTATAGTTAAACTCTACTCTTATAATTAATAACATTTGTAATTGGTACAAAAACTCTATCAAATTTGATAATATTAGAATATACAATAACTTTATTACTGATATATCTTTTTTTTTTTTTGCTTACACTAAGACTGTAGTTATTGGCAGCTATTGTTTTTATTGTATTTTAATTATAATTACATAATTTGTACAAAATGAGTATACAACTAGCTATATATACAACTTTTGGTTGTTTATTTTAAGTAGTCCATCTGTACATCAGGTTCTATACTAGCTGCCATATCTGCAATTTACTAAGAGATTACTTATTTAAATATTCTATTCCTATACTTATACTAACAAATAGTACACAAGTTCCTATACACCTAAGTGTCATCTAACCTAACTGTGACTTCTCTGTTTGTATGTTCATTAAGTTGTTACATATTTCAGAATATATTACCTGACTGTAGAGCTCTAGAAGGCCCCTTTGCTAACTAACTACCTACATTTAGTCTCTTGTTAACAGGGCTTACCCTTGAGAGTTTACTCAGATCCAAGCATCAACTTCATAGCATATCTCTAGTACTTATAGTATACCTCTGCTTTTGATCTCAAACTTCCAATTCAGATAGCCTGATAGGACTATGCTCTGTTCTTGGTACTCTAGAATTTGTCTTTTAAGGTTCTGTTTTTCTGGTTTAAAACTTTTGGTAGTCTGGTTGATGGTACTTTTTATCTGAGGTTTTTTCTTATCTAATTTTTTCTACATTGGTATTTGTTTTCTAGGTCTAGCCTTTACAGTAATACTGTTAAAAATCTGTGCTATCTCTTTACTTAGGTCTTCTCAAATAGGCTCTGGTTTTTTCAGTTCACATATTTATATAACTATTAGAACTTATTTTAGATTTGCACTGCTCGATGCCAGTTTACATTCTTCTATGTAACTCCAATATTGCACAGATGCCTTATGAGCTGTCAGTCATACTGGTGTGACCATGTTACAGATATTTGATTCCAACTAATCAATGGAATGCTATTGCTATAATACTACTTATCTTTTGTAATATTAATATAACATAGATAGTTTTTTCAAATTTTCACTATCGATAGGTTTTGAACTTTTAACCTACTACTTAGAAGTTGACAACTTATTCATTTTACTAAGTCATCACATCCTTATTACTGATATATCTAATATTAAACTTTATATTCAACAATATTTTAATTAATAGATATTATACTAATATATTAATTAACAAATATATGAAACTAATTAGCAAAATAATTATAATTCTAAACTATACATCAATTCTAAATAGTATGATAACATTCTCTCTAAATTTACTATTAACAAAGTTAATTTAATACTGACTTAACTTCTAAACAATAAAGCTTGTAACCTTTTAAACATTAGTTATAAAATACTCAAATATGTTAATTTATTATTTTTCTAAGCAATTACTATCTTATTTAACAGATATATTTTATAAACCATATATTTAAACAATAAAAAAAGAGCAGAATCTTTTTAATTTCTAAAAAACTAATCTTTAATGATAATCTTATTAATATTAGACCTATTAGTTTTTTTAAACATACTAACAAACTATATATCAAATTATTTACCAATTACTTAAACTATATCTTCACAAAATTTAAAATACTTTTATTTTATAATTATATTGCTTTTTAATAGTACAACTATTTCTATTTATGTACTTAACAATATCATTAAAAATATATACTGTAACTCCAAAGAACTTTGGCTTATATTCCAGAATATAAGCAAAGATTATGATTTAGTTAACTTAAAAAAGCTTTTAACTATATTAATATAATATTCAAACTAATTAATATACTTATTAACTTACTTACAAATTATTAAAACAGAATAATTACAAATTTTCGTCTTACTGCTTTTTATTCAGCTAAAAATATAATAAACTAAGATGAAACTATTACTTTGCTCTTTTGGCAAATTTACTATAATTTACTTATCTACAAAATCACATCATAGTATAAAGGCTATATACTATTTACAAATTAGCCAATTAGCCTCTTTTTATTTAAAACCCAAAGTCTTAACATATTTACTTCTGTTTTAGTTTACATAAATAATATATTTTAAATATCTCAATCTAAATTAGAACTTAAACAAATACTTTAAACTGTAATATTCTTTTACCAAATAATTAACATCCAAATTAATTCTTTTAAGTCTATTTTTATATTTATTCAATCTCAAACTACAATTTAATTCTTTAATTTTATACTTACATTTATTCTAGTTAACCAACTCTTTAAATTTTTTGGCTGTTAGTTTATACTTAATAACAAACAAATAGCACAAATCAAATTAATTCAAAAAAAACATTTCAGCTTATAAATATTACTAGTACTAAAAAAATTACAAATAAACAAATAATTTATATTATTAACATAGTCATTATTTCTATACTAAAATATTGAATACACAATATAATTCTTCTTTACATTGTATATAATAAAATTTTAGCTAAATATCTAACTATAACTAAACATAAATCTTATCTAGTCTATTCAATTCTAAATAGTATTATGCTTAATTCATTTCTATATAATGTGCACAATATTTGAAATATTCAACTTCAACATCATATCTCTAATTCTATTTTATGAATTAACAACTCTTATTTACTAAAAACTTCTATATATATTTGACTATAACAGCTAGAAAATAATCTTTGGTCTATTACAAATATACTTCAATACTCTTAATCTAATATTAATAAAGCTAATAAATATATTCTAAACTTTAAAATTATCTAACTTATTATATATATGTGGGGCGTTCAATAAGTTTTGTGAATGTGTAAAATATTCTTTTATTTACATAATAAATTGCAATTTTAACTATTCCATCCCTTCGAAATAGTTCCTATTAATATCTATGCAACATCTTAACCTTCTACGCCAATCCTGAAAACAATTAAAGTACTCCTCCTTTGTTATAGTATTAGCTATTGATTTTACAGCATGAGCAAGCTCTTGAATCCTCTCAAATCATAACCCACCAAGCTCTTTTTTAATTTTTGGAAATAAAAAAAAATCACAGAGGGCTAGATCTGGACTATAGGGGGGATGGGAAAGCAATATTACTCGTTCTTTACGAAGAACCTCAGTAACCTCTTTTGCCTTGTGTGGTGTCGCATTATCATGATGCAGCATGATGTCACGTACAGTGCTTCTGCCACTGATTTCCTTAAAATTTTTAAAAACTAACAGTAATACATCATTGCCATAATACCTTCTATTAACCGTATGTCCTTCTTTTACCACAATACTTGCCACAATTCTGCTAACTGAAAAGAAAATGCAAAACATTTGTTTTCTACTAAATCGAGAGGTCCTTATGATTTGGAGTCGATTCTCTTCCTCATTTAACTAAACTTTATTACTTTTTTTAGACGAAATAGTGAAGAAATAAAACCAGGTTTTATCACCTGTAATAATATTTTGAAATCCATTATCAAGATATTTCAACAATTGCTTTGAAACTTTAACTTTTTTTTGCTTGTTTTTTTCAGAAAGAGTGTGAAGTACCCATTTTGAGCATACTTTGTGAGCATGGAGTTTTGTATATAAAATAGTTTCAATACTTCCAACCGAAATATCAACCACATGCTGAATACCTTCAACTGTAATATGGGGGTCATCACTTATAAGAGTTTTAATTTTAGCAATGTTTGAATCTGTGACTGCTTTGCAAGAATGTCCAAAATGAGGTGCATCTTCTATATTTGATTTCCCAGCTTTGAATGCTTCAATCTAGCGGTAAATAGTTGATTTAGTTAGTGCTTTGTCTCCTTTAGCAACAACTAAGTCTTTATGGATATCAACAGCTTCTTTACCATTCTTCCAGCATATCCAGATATAGTACCGTTGATTTTCGCGTATAGAATTTTTTATCATCTTTTGTACGCAAATTTTACAGAGCGATAATTCTATTTCCATCAAATCAAAACATGCCAAGTTTTTTATAATTAATTAAGCATTGCATGTGATTTAATATGATTACTTTCAAATTTAATTAGATTAAATGATCATCAAGATAATGGTGCAGTCTTAAAACTTTTTGAATGCCCCACGTATTAATATGTCTATAACAGCTAACAATAGTATATCTTAACCTAATATCTTACAATACAACCTCTAACTATTAAAATTAATTTTGGCCTTATATTCTCAATACACTATCTTTAAAAAGCAACTTAGAAAACTTAATATTCTATATTTTGAGCAACTTTGCATTGCAGATAATACTACTTTACTTTAGTAAAACTACTTTTTATATTACTTAGTATAGCTATCTAAAAAATGCAAACCATTTTGGTTTACTTATCTAAAAAACATTATAATTACTAACAACAGTTCTAGAATACTTCTTTTACACTAACAACAGTCTAAACATAATTTTTTTGCTTACAACTTTTAACATATTTCTAAAAAACTTAAGTTCTAATTACTTATATATAATAATAATATTATTATTATTAGAAAAATTTGCAAATATTTTAAAAATAATAATTAAACATCTATTATATATTGAAAAACTAATATTAATACAAAACTTTTTACTTACTACTCTTTTTTATCAATTTAATACTTACCTTGTACAAATTGCTATCTTAACTCTTATAGAGTTGCAAATCTTTATATAATTTATATATTATTAATAATTTCTACTTAATTTCTTAAGAGTTTTTTTTAATTCACTTAACTTTAATACAAACCACATTGATCTGATTTATTCAACTGCAATTAAACATCTTTTATTCTTATCTTCTGCTTCTACTATTTATATTTCTAATTTTTCTATATCAGAAATTTTTAAGCAAGCTGAAGTTACAAATATATTCAAACAATACTTTCTTACTAATTCAACTCAATATATATTTAATTTCTATACTAATGGTTCAGTAATTGACATTGGTACAAAGCAATATACAATAGGTATTGAATAGATACAAGTCAATAATCTTAATCAAATTATTTACAAATTCTTAGCTAAAATCTTTTTCTGCTTATTCTTTTACAAAACTAAGTTAATGTTAATTATTTTAGTTATTTTAATAATTTTTCACAACTCAACAATCAATATTTATTCTAACTTTCAGTCTATAATTACCAAATATTTTATAATTTATACTACTTTTTTAAGTCTTAACAAACTTTTCAAATTTAGCTCATGGCCTATATGGCATACTCTGCATAATATTATCAAATTTTATAATTACCAAATTAACTTTCACAAAGCACTAGCTTATTCTAATAATACTCTTAATAATTTAGCTGATTTATTAGCAAAACAATATAATTTATTATCTATACTATACTTTAACTATACAAACATCTACAATCTATATTATATAATCTTTTAAGGTCAATATTTTATTGAGCATCCAACTAGAAGCTTCATTAAAAACATTTATAAAGCTTATATTTTAGTAATATGATCTTCTCAAATATGTAATATAGAATAAAACTCTTTGGTTTTTCAAATTAATTAGAAATCAACTTGGTTATATTTTAACTATAATCAAAAAGCAATATATAATATTACTAACTTTAAACTCAATTATCTCAAATTATTTAAAATTAAACTTTATTAAATGAACTTTTTACTTATTTTTATTTTTACAAAACTTACTTACATATATTTTACAATACTAACTGCTTTTATTACAATTTAGTTAACTTTTCAACTTATTGGTATATATGTTTAAACTTATTACTTATTTTTAATATTATTTAAACTAGTATATCTAATTATATTAACAATATAGATTTTGATTTATCTATAAATTAGCAAAAAGAACTTATTTACAAAATTTGTAACTATTATATTTTCTACTATATATCTTTTCAAACAAACTTATACTATCTAAATATTACACTTAAAGAACTTATTTCTAAATCTTTAATTGATACTATACAAAACTTTAATATTTTATATAAACTAGTCTTACAAACAATTATTGCTATTTTGCTTAAAGTTAATAAATTTTTTATAAACAAATATAAAAACCATACTGCATAAACTTTGCTAACTAAAAACAATAACAAAGACTTAAATTATCTTACTTTTGGTTTTTATCTAAATCAAGCCAAACCAATAGAAAAAACTCTAATTATAAAACTTATATTATTTCTGCCTATATAAACTACTTGACTAACTATACTTCAACTTTAATACCTGTTTATCTATTAGTTATACTATCTATAAAATTAATAATACAATATTTTTTATAATTATATTTTAAACTTACAAATCTAAATAAAACTTAATCACTCTAGTAGGTTTAGGTCACAAATAAATATATTTAAGCTTTTATTCTTAAATATAGTTTTTTTTTTTTATTTGTACTTAGAGTAATAGTTATATAATTAGTAGTTTAACAGTTTAATTCTAACTGCAAGTGTTGGTTTTAGCTATAGCATTTATATAAAAAATTATTTTTTGTATATAACAACTCCATGTAGTTGCTAACTTTTTTTTTTTTTTTTTTTACTTTCATTAAGGCTGATGTTTATTGGTAGTTATCATCTTTATTAGATATTTTAGTTATATATTATATATAACTTGTACAAAATAAGTGTACAACTAGCCACTTGTACAATTTTTAGTTATTTATTTTAAGTAGTCCACCTGAAAGTTCTATATTAGTTGCTATACCTATAATCTATTAGAAAATTACTTATTTAAACACTCTGATTATTTATACTTATACTAGTCAAATAGTTTCAAGGCTCTTATACATCTTGGTGCCATATAATCTAACATGTGATCTTTCTTGTTGTATATCTGTTAGGCCATTACATATTTTAGAGCATGTCACCTAACTGTAAGGCCTAGGGTGCCTTTCTATTAATTAATTTTACCTACTTTTATTATAGAATATTAACAGAACATGTTTTTGCAAAATTCACTTAGATCTCAGTATCAACTTCATAGCATATCCCTAATACTTATAGTATATCTCTGCTTTGAACTTAGACTTCCAATCTAAATAGTCTAGTAGAACTGTAACCTGTCCTGGTATATTGAGTCTGGCATGATATCCTTTTCTTTTGGTCTAATTTCCAGTGGCCTGGTTGATAATATCCTTTATCTAGAGATTTTTGTCTATCTAATTCCTTTACATTGGAATTCATTTTCTAGATCTAGCTTTTACAGTAATACTGTTAAAGATCTGTGTTACCTCTTTACTTAGGTTTTCTTAAGTGGGCTTCAGTTTCTTCAATTCTACAAATTTATACAACCAAGGGACTTATCTTGAGTTTGCACTGCCTGGTACTAGTTTGCATCTCTCAGTATAACCAAGGTTACATATATGTCACTAACCTGCCAGTCATGCTGGTATGACTATAGTTACAAGTATTCTATCCTAACCACAGGTTGCATAAAGACATATTAGCAATAGCATAACCAGAATAATATTAGATAAATATTAAAAAACTGATAGGAAATATAAATATTAAGTTTAATCAAGAGAATATTAGATTACCAATATTAAAATGAAATTGAATCTAAAACTACAGATATTTTAGAAAACTAAAGATATAATTTCAGAAATACCAATATAGCTTTTAAAATTATGATAATATTATCAAAGATATATGATAACATATCAGCAGTAGTATAACCAGATAATATCATAAAAATATCAATTATCTGATAAAAAATATAAATTTTAAGTATAATTATAGGAATATTAGAAGCTGATATTAATATAGACATAATTCTAAAAATATTAATATTTTAAATACAATTTGTTAGCAACAGGAATAATTTCAAGTATACTGATATAGCTATATAGCTTTTTCTAATATTATAGTATTAAAATGATATTGTTCACATATTTTCATTTTGAAAATACTACTGATATAGCTATAAGATTTTTATTGTGCTTTAAAATTATTTATAATATAGTTTAATATTTAAAAACAATTATTAAACATTTTGACAAAATACTATTAATAACAAAAGTAAAATAAATTTTATTATTATATATAAAATTTCTATTAATTAATATTACTAATATATATTCCATCAGAGTTTTCTTTCCAACTTTAGCAATACCAGAAATGAATTGGCCTAAAATATTATATACAGAAATTATACAATCTCTACTTATATTATAAAAGTTTTAATTCTACAATTCAATATTACAAATACCATCTATTTGGCAATAATATCTAATTTTATGATTATTAACAGGCTTGAAACAGTATACAAATGCCAATATATGCTTTTTCAAGCTATTAGATAGGTGTACCACATGTTCAAAATAGAATTGAACAATTTTTAATTATATATCAGTAGATCCATTGTCTAATATAAATTTTGTTATTATTTTTGTCAACCTTTTGTGTTTTCTACAGATATTGAACCAAAAATTTTATCACTAATTTTTAGTCTTCCATATTCTGTTACTCTAGGCAAAACCAATATAGAGTTTGATTTGCTAATATCTCTATTACTTAATAACTTAAAACTATAGTTATAAGCATTATTATAATATTTAGTTAATAAAGCTAATAATTCTTTTAAGAGCATCTTTCTAATATTCTTAGGCCCTAAAAGAGCATCAGAAAAAGGTTTATTTCTAGTTTCTGAGCTTTCTTCAATGTCTATAAACAGTAATAGAAACTCCTAACAGTCAATTCTATTATTTATAAAAAGACTACTAATCATTTTTCTTTGTTCAATAAACAGTAAACATGTATGTAAATGTCCTTCTGTTTGTATTATAAGTTCATTCAAT